GTCCCCATCCCCATCCCGGGGCCGCTGCGGCGCCTCGGGAGAGACAAAGAGGCGGCGGCGGCTCCTCCCGCAGCGGCCCCGGGATGCGGCGGCCCCGGGGACAACCGGAGGCCGGGGGGGGGCTCCCCGCCAAGGGGAGGGGAAGGGGATGGAGGAGACCCCCGCGCCCCCCGCCCGCGGTGCTCCGGGGGTTGGATGGCGGCGGCTGCGCCGTTAATCCCGGGCAGGGCCGCGGTGGGGCGGGGGGCGCAGGAGCCGCGCCGGTCCCGCATCCTCCCAAGGTGAACGAACGGGCGGGGGAACGGGATACCGGGGTGCGGGCCCGGTGTAAGGGCGGGACAGCGGGAGGGGAAGGGCAGCGCGACCCCGTATCACACCGGGCATCCCACCCCGCGTATCCCACCCCGTATCCCATCCCGTATCCCACCGGCGTGTCCCATCCCGCGTGTCCCCACTCACCGGCAGCCGGGCGGGGAGAGCGAGTGGAAGGTGGAGAGCGAGAACATCTCGGCGCGATCCGCCATTTTCTCCGGCCGGGGCTGCGCCGGACTGCGGAGCTGCGGGAGCGGCGGGAGGAGCCGCGGGAGGAGCTGCGGGAACGGGGGAGAGGGGCGGGAGGAGCTGCGGGAACGGGGGGAGCGGCGGGACGGGGGAGACGGAGGAGGAGCTGCGGGAAACGAGCGGGGAGAGGGAGGAGCCGGGAGGGGCGGGGGCGGCGGGAGGGAGAGGGAGGGGAGGGGGGGATGGGATGGGATGGGATGGGATGGGATGGGATGGGATGGGATGGGATGGGATGGGATGGGATGGGATGGGATGGGATGGGATGGGATGGGATGGGATGGGATGGGATGGGATGGGATGGGATGGGATGGGATGGGATGGGATGGGATGGGATGGGATGGGATCAATGGGATGAGATGGGATGGGATCAATGGGATGCGATTGGGGTGGGATCAATGGGATGGGATGGGATGGGATGGGATTGGATTGGGGTGGGATGGGATCAATGGGATGGGATCGGATTGGGGTGGAGTGGGATCAATGGGATGGGATCAATGGGATGGGATGGGATTGGGGTGGGATGGAATGGGATGGGATTGGGGTGGGATGGAATGGGATGGGATTGGGGTGGGATAGGATGGGACGAGGGGCGGTCCTGGGGGGGGCTAGAGAAGGAGGGGTCTGGGGGTGCGGGATGGGATTGGGGGGGTCTATAGAGGATCGGGGGTGTCTGTAGAGGATCGGGGGTGTCTGTAGGGGATCGGGGATGTCTATAGGGGATCGGGGGTATCTGTAGGGGATCGGGGGTGTCTGTAGGGGATCGGGGGCTCTATAGAGGATCGGGGGCTCTATAGAGGATTGGGGGTGTCTGTAGGGGATCGGGGGCTCTATAGAGGATCAGGGGGGTCTATAGGGGATCGGGGGTGTCTATAGGGATCGGGCCCTATGGGGCACTCTATAGGGTCGCTCCCCGGGCTCCTGGCGGGGCCGGCACCGCGCGGGCCGCCGAGCGGAGCTGTCCCCGGTGCTGAGCGCCGGCACCGGACAGCGGCCGCCGCCGGGGACACCAGGGACGGCCCCGGTTTGGGGGGGCGGGCAGCGGGACCCCCGCACTGCCACCCGTGGGGTGTGGGGTGCCTCCGTGTCCCCCGATTCCCTCCGTGTGCCCCCCATGTTCCCAAATTCTATCAGTGTCCCTCAATTCCCAATTGTGTCCCCCAATTCCCTTAGTGCCACTCCCTGTGTCCCCCCTCAGTGCCACCCCCGTGTTCCAAATTCCCTCCGTGTGTCCCCAATTCTCTAAGTGTTCCCCAATTCCCTCAGTGTCCCCCAATTCCCAATTGTGTCCCCCAATTCCCTTAGTGCCACTCCCTGTGTCCCCCCACAGTGCCATCCCCGTGTTCCAAATTCCCTCTGTGTCCCCACTGTGTCCCCAATCCTCTAAGTGTCCCCCAATCCTCTAAGTGTCCCCCAATTCCCTCAGTGTCCCCCAATTCCATCAGTGTCCCCAATTCTCTCAGTGTCCCCAATTCCCTTAGTGTCCCCAATTCCCTCAGTGTCCCCAATTCCCTCAGTGTCCCCCAATCCCCTCAGTGTCCCCAATTCCCTCAGTGCCCCCAATTCCCTCAGTGTCCCCCAATCCCCTCAGTGCCCCCAATCCCCTCAGTGTCCCCAATTCCCTCAGTGTCCCCCAATTCTCCCCCTGTGTCCCCAATTCCCTCAGTGTCCCCCAATTCCCTCAGTGTCCCCCAATTCCCTCAGTGTCCCCCCTGTGTCCCCCAATTCCCTCAGTGTCCCCCTGTGTCCCCAATTCTCTCAGTGTCCCCCAATTCTCAGTGTCCCCCAATTCCCTCCATGTCCCCCAATTCCCTCCATGTCCCCTCGTGTCCCCAATTCCCTCAGTGTCCCCCAATTCCCTCAGTGTCCCCCCATGTCCCCCAATCCCATCAGTGTCCTCCAATTCCCTCCCTGTGTCCCCAATTCCCTCAGTGTCCCCCAATTCCCTCCGTGTCCCCCAATTCCCTCAGTGTCCCCCAATCCCCTCAGTGTCCCCAATTCTCTCAGTGTCCCCCAATCCCCTCAGTGTCCCCAATTCTCTCAGTGTCCCCCAATCCCCTCAGTGTCCCCAATTCCCTTCCTGTGTCCCCCAATTCCCTCAGTGTCCCCAATTCCCTCAGTGTCCCCCAATCCCCTCAGTGTCCCCAATCCCCTCAGTGTCCCATTCCCAGCTTCCACCCCAACATTCCCATTCCCATCTCCGTTCCTTTGGGGTTTTGGGACACGGCCCTGCCCCGGCGGGGATTTGGGGTTCCCGCAGCTTCCCCCCACATTCCATGGGGAGAACATTCCCTAAAAACCGAGCGGGATCTTCCCAAGGCCGGGGATTCCCAAACTGCCGGCGGGAATTGCGGCTGTGAGGGACTCCAAAGGATTTCCAAGGATAAACTGGGCTCGGTGCTCCTTTGGGATCCCACTCGGGATGTTCCGGGATTCCTCTGGCCCCTGCCAAGGCCTGGCCCCCTTTCCATGGAAAATGATCCCAAATATCCCCTGGATCTGCTGGGAATTCTCATGGGGGTGTGAGCACAGAATTCCCAGATTATTGAGGCTGGGAAAGAATTCCAAGGTCACCAATCCAAGCTGGGCCCGATCCCAGCCCTGAGTGGAATTCCAGGAATTCCTCGGGCACCTCCAGGGATGGGCACAGCCCAGGAAGTTTTCCAAACGTTTCCATTCCCAGGATCCGTGAATTCCACCCTGGGCCGATCCCAAACCTTCAGCTCCTGGAATGGATCCCGAGGATCCACCCGGACCCGGCAAAGCTCCGACAAACGGGAGAAATTCCCGCTGGGACAATCCAGCCTGAGGGAAATCCATCCCTTCAATCCTTCCCGCCTTCCTTTTCCAGACCCTTCTCAAACCCCTCTGGAATTTTCCAGCTCAAATCCCAAATCCCTCCAGTTTTCCATATTCCTCCAGATTTCTCAGCCTAAATCCCAAATCCCTCTGGAGTTTTCCAGCCCAAATCCCAAATCTCTCTGGAATGTTCCAGCCCCTTACCAAATCCCTCTGGAATTTTCCAACCCAAATCCCAAATCCCTCCAGAGTTTTCCAGCCCAAATCCCAAATCTCTCTCTGGAATGTTCCAGCCCCTTACCAAATCCCTCTGGAGTTTTCCAACCCAAATCCCAAATCCCTCCAGTTTTCCCATATCCCTCCAGAGTTTCTCAGCCTAAATCCCAATTCCACTGGAGTTTTCCAGCCCAAATCCCAAATCCTTCTGGAATTTTTCAGACCCTTCTCAAATCTCTCTCAAATCCAGCCCAAATCCCAATTCCCTCCAGAGTTTCCCAGCCCAAATCCCAAACCCCTCCAGAGTTTTCCAGCCCAAATTCCTCCAGAGTTTTCTAGCCCAAATCCTTCTGGAATTTTCCAGACCCTTCTCAAATCCCTCTGGAGTTTTCCAGCCCAAATCCCAAATCCCTCCAGAGTTTTCCAGACCCTTCTCAAATCCCTCTGGAGTTTTCCAGCCCAAATCCCAAATCTCTCTGTAATGTTCCAGCCCCTTACCAAATCCCTCTGGAGTTTTCCAACCCAAATCCCAAATCCCTCCAGTTTTCCCATATCCCTCCAGAGTTTCTCAGCCTAAATCCCAATTCCACTGGAGTTTTCCAGCCCAAATCCCAAATCCCTCCAGAGTTTTCCAGCCCCTTCTCAAACCCCTCTGGAATTTTCCAGCTCAAATCCCAAATCCCTCCAGAGTTTTCCAGCCCAAATCCCAAATCCCTCCAGAGTTTTCCAGACCCTTCTCAAATCCCTCTGGAGTTTTCCAGCCCAAATCCCAAATCCTTCTGGAATTTTCCAGCCCGTTCTCAAATCTCTCTCAAATCCAGCCCAAATCCCTCCAGAGTTTTCCAGCCCAAATCCCAAATCCTTCTGGAATTTTCCAGACCCTTCTCAAATCCCTCAGGAATTTTCCAGCACAAATCCCAAATCCCTCCAGAGTTTTCCAGCCCAAATCCCAAATCCCTCCAGAGTTTTCCAGCCCAAATCCCAAATCCCTCCAGAGTTTTCCAGCCCAAATCCCAAATCCCTCTGGACTTTTCCAGTCCAAATCCCAAACCCCTCTGGAGCTCTCCAGCCCTTCCTGCCCCGTTCCCTTCCCTGGCCCCGTTCCAGCCCCTCCAGGGCTCTCCAGGATCCCGGCTGGGGCCTCACTTTGGAAAATTTGGGAAAACTGCTCCCGGAAAAGCTTTGGGATCGCCATCCCCGCAGGGGTTCCAGCCCCCAGCCGGATCCCAGGGGATTTTCCAGTGGCAGCAGCTGGCACAGCTGCCACCACCCCCCGTCTGTCACCCCCATCTGTCACCCCCAGCCCCCCCGGCGCTTCCCGAGCATCCGGACATAATCCGGGATCGGGGCCGGGCGTCGCTGCCACCCCGGGGACAGGGTGGCCCCAGGGGACCCGTGGGGACAGGGCACAGCTGGACACGGGCACGGGCGGGGACGGAGTTTATTGGTGACCCGCGGGGGGGGCAGGGTGGCCACGGGGGTACTGTGGGGTTCCCGGGGGGGTTTTGGGGCTGGGGGTGTCTGTGGGGTGTTTATGGGGTGGGACAGGGCACAGGGTGTTTATGGGGTGGGCACAGAGTGTTTATGGGGTGGGCACAGAATATCTATAGGGGGTTCAGGGTGTTTATGGGGAGTGACAGGGCACAGGGTGTCTATGGGGTGGGCACAGGGTGTTTATGGGGTGTGACAGGGCACAGTGTGTCTATGGGGTGGGCACAGGGTGTTTATGGGGTGTGACAGGGCACAGGGTGTTTATGGGGTGGGCACAGGGTGTTTATGGGGTGTGACAGGGCACAGTGTGTCTATGGGGCGGGCACAGGGTGTTTATGGGGTGTGACAGGGCAGGGTGTGTCTATGGGGCGGGCACAGTGTGTCTATGGGGCGGGCACAGAGTGTCCATAGGGCGCACAGGGTGTTTATAGGGCGGGCACAGGGTGTTTATGGGGTGTGACAGGGCACAGTGTGTCTATGGGGCACACAGTGTGTCTATGGGGTGGGCACAGAGTGTCCATGGGGCGCACAGGGTGTCCATAAGGGGCACAGGGTGTCCATAGGGCGTACAGGGTGTCTATGGGGTGGGCACAGGGTGTTTATGGGGTGTGACAGGGCACAGGGTGTTTATGGGATGGGCACAGTGTTTATGGGGTGGGCACAGAGTATCCATAGGGGGTTCAGGGTGTTTATGGGGAGTGACAGGGCACAGTGTGTCTATGGGGCGGGCACAGTGTGTCTATGGGGTGTGACAGGGCACAGGGTGTCTATGGGGTGGGCACAGTGTGTCTATGGGGTGGGCACAGGGTGTCTATGGGGTGTAACAGGGCACAGGGTGTCTATGGGGCGGGCACAGGCTGTCTATGGGGTGGCACAGGCTGTCCATGGGGCACACAGTGTGTCCATGGGGCACACAGGGTGTCTATAGAGGGCACAGGGTGTTTATGGGGTGTGACAGGGCACAGTGTGTCCATGGGGTGGGCACAGTGTGTCTATGGGGTGGGCACAGGGTGTCTATGGGGTGTAACAGGGCACAGGGTGTCTATGGGGTGGGCACAGTGTGTCTATGGGGTGTAACAGGGCACAGTGTGTCTATGGGGTGGGCACAGGGTGTTTATGGGGAGTGACAGGGCACAGGGTGTCTATGGGGCGGGCACAGGGTGTTTATGGGCAGTGACAGGGCACAGTGTGTCTATGGGGTGGGCACAGGGTGTCTATGGGGTGGGCACAGGGTGTTTATGGGGAGTGAAAGGGCACAGGGTGTCTATGGGGTGAGACAAGGCACAGGGTGCCCACAGGAACACAGTGTGTCTATGGGGTGGACACAGAGTGTCCATGGGCCGCACAGGGTTTTTATAGGGTGGGCACAGGGTGTTTATGGGGCACACAGTGTGTCCATGGGGGGCACAGTATGTCTATGGGGCGGGCACAGGCTGTCCATGGGGCACACAGTGTGTCTATGGGGCAGGCACAGTGTGTCTATAGGGTGTAACAGGGCAGAGTGTGTCTATGGGACGGGCACAGTGTGTCTATGGGGCACACAGGCTGTCCATGGGGCACACAGGATGTTTATGGGGCGGGCACAGGCTGTCCATGGGGCACACAGCGTGCTTGCCGGGGTGTGACAGGGCACAGTGTGTCCATGGGGCACACAGTGTGTCTATGGGGCGGGCACAGGCTGTCCATGGGGCACACAGTGTGTCTATGGGGTGGGCACAGTGTGTCCATGGGGCAGGCACAGGGTGTCTATGGGGTGTGACAGGGCACAGTGTGTCTATGGGGTGGGCACAGTGTGTCTATGGGGCACAGAGTGTGTCCATGGGGCACAGAGTGTGTCCATGGAGCAGGCACAGTGTGTCCATGGGGCACACAGTGTGTCCATGGGGCGGGCACAAGGTGTCTATAGGGGGCACAGGGTGTTTATGGGGTGCCACAGGGCACCGCACACTTCCAGGGGTCCCCGGCCCGCCGGCCGCCCTGCCCTCAGCCCCGCTGTCCCTGGCACGGGGCGCTGTCCCCGCTGTCCCCGCTGTCCCCAAGTGCCAGCAGCAGGTCCAGGTAGGCCCCGGGCACCAGGTCACTCTCAGCCACGCCGAGATCCCGCAGCAGCTCCTGTGCCAGGCGCTGCCCGTCCTGCTCGCTCTGCTCCGGCCGCAGCACCACCTGTGCCACCGTGCCACCTGTGTCACCTGTGTCACACGTGTCACCCGTGACACCCGTGCCACCCGCGCTGTCCCTCACCTCCAGCTCCAGGAAGTCCCCGAGGCCCTCCACGCGGTCCAGGTGCAGCCGAGTCTGGCCCAGCAGCAGCAGCAGCCGCTCCTTCCTCACCGTGCCCAGCACGCCCAGGGACTGGGACAGCACCGCCTGGGACACGGGGACATGGGGACATGGGGACAGGGGTGGCACAGGGACTGGGACAGCACCGTCTGGGACACAGGGACATGGGGACATGGGGACAGGGGTGGCACAGGGCCCAGGGACTGGGACAGCACCGCCTGGGGACAGGGGGACACGGGGACATGGGGACAGTGACAGCACCGCCTGGGGACACGGGGACACGGGGACATGGGGACATGGGGACTGGGACAGCACCGCCTGGGGACACGGGGACAGGGGTGGCACAGGGACTGGGACAGCACCACCTGGCACATGGGGACATGGGGACTGGGACAGCACCGCCTGGGGACATGGGGACATGGGGACAGTGACAGCACCGCCTGGGACATGGGGACATGGGGACACAGGGACTGGGACAGCACCGCCTGGGGACATGGGGACATGGGGACATGGGGACATGGGGACACAGGGACTGGGACAGCACCGCCTGGGGACATGGGGACATGGGGACTGGGACAGCACCGCCTGGGACATGGGGACAGGGGTGGCACAGGGACTGGGACAGCACCGCCTGGGGACATGGGGACACGGGGACAAGGGTGGCACAGGGACTGGGACAGCACCGCCTGGGGACATGGGGACACGGGGACAGGGGTGGCACAGGGACCCACACAGCCCAGCACACCCAGGGACTGTGACAGCACCGCCTGGGACACGGGGACATGGGGACATGGGTGACACAGGGACTGGGACAGCACCACCGGGGACATGGGGACATGGGGACACAGGTGGCACAGGGACTGGGACAGCACCGCCTGGGGACATGGGGACAGGGGGTCTGTGACAGCACCGCCTGGGGACATGGGGACATGGGGACATGGGGACATGGGGACTGGGACAGCACCGCCTGGGGACATGGGGACATGGGGACATGGGGACTGGGACAGCACCGCCTGGGACATGGGGACATGGGTGGCACAGGGACTGGGACAGCACCGCCTGGGGACATGGGGACATGGGGACATGGGGACTGGGACAGCACCGCCTGGGACATGGGGACATGGGGACATGGGGACTGGGACAGCACCGCCTGGGACACGGGGACACGGGGACAGGGGTGGCACAGGGACAGGGGTGGCACAGGGACCCACAGAGCCCAGGGACTGCGACAGCACCGCCTGGGACATGGGGACATGGGGACATGGGGACTGTGACAGCACTGCCTGGGGACACGGGGACATGGGGACAGGGGTGGCACAGGGACTGTGACAGCACCGCCTGGGACACGGGGACATGGGGACATGGGGACTGGGACAGCACCGCCTGGGACATGGGGACATGGGGACAGGGTGGCACAGGGACCCACAGAGCCCAGGGACTGGGACAGCACCGCCTGGGACACGGGGACATGGGGACAGGGGTGGCACAGGGACTGGCCACCTCTCACCTGCAGCCCCTCGGGGTCGGCCGTGGGGCTGGTGCTGAACAGGGACAGTTTGGGACCGGCTCTGTCGGGGCGCTCGTAGAAAATCAGCTCCCCCCGGCCGTCCTGGGGGACAGGTGGGGACAGGTGAGCACAGGGACAGGTGAGCATGGGGACAGGCCAGCACACGGCCAAGCCCAGCCCCTCCAGCCACCCCTCACCTGCGTCCGGCGCAGCTTCAGCCGCCCCCGCGGCACATGGAAGAACGTGTCGGTCTGGAGCAGCACCTGCCCGGTCCCGGGGCAGTCCTGGGGCGGCTCCTGCCCGGTCCCGGGGCACTCCCGGGGCGCTCCATGCCCGGTCCCGGGGCACTCCTGAGGCGGCTCCTGCCCCTCATCGCTGCCCGGCCCGGTGCCGGGGCAGTCCCGGGGCGCTCCGAGCCTGGTCCCGGGGCAGTCCCGGGGTGCTCCGTGCCCGGTCCCGGCGCAGTCCGTGCTCACCGCCCGCCGCCGCAGGGCCGCCCTCAGCACTGCCTCCCTCTCCCTCAGCCGCGCCTTCACCTCCACGTTCCGCCGCATCCCGCCGAGCGCTCCCATTGGCCGTCGCGCGCGCGACAACCCCCCCGATCCGCCTTTCTATTGGCCGAGCAAACCGTCAATCAGCGAATCTCGTCGCTATTGGTTAGAACCGGCAGGGTTCCGCCCTAACCGAGCTGGAGCGGGTGGCGGCCACCATGGCGGCGGCGGCGGGGGGCCCGGGCAGCGGCGGTGAGGACGGTGATGTCCCCGCCGCCACCCGCCTGCAGGCCTACGCCTGGTGCCGCGAGTTCCTGGCCGGCTCCTGGAAGCTCATCGGCCCCGACGAGTTCGGCATCTGGCCCGTCAGGTAGGAAGCGGAACGGGAGAGAGGCGGCCCCCCCCCCCGGTCTCCTCAGTGGTCTCGTCCCGGGGCTCGGGGAAGTGTCGCCTCCCTGTCCCCTCCCTGTCCCCTCCCTGTGCCCCCGATTGTCCCCCGGAGCAGTGTCCCTGTCCCCTCCCTGTCCCCTCCCTGTGCCCCGATTGTCCCCCGGAGCGGTGTCCCTGTCCCCTCCCTGTCCCCTCCCTGTGCCCCCGATTGTCCCCCGGAGCAGTGTCCCTGTCCCCTCCCTGTCCCCTCCCTGTGCCCCCGATTGTCCCCCGGAGCGGTGTCCCTGTCCCCTCCCTGTCCCCTCCCTGTGCCCCCGATTGTCCCCCGGAGCAGTGTCCCTGTCCTGTCCCTGTCCCCTCCCTGTGCCCTCACTGTGCCCCGATTGTCCCCCGGAGCAGTGTCCCTGTCCCCTCCCTGTCCCCTCCCTCTTGTACCTCAGAGCGGTGTCCCTGTCCCCTCCCTGTCCCGTCCCTGTGCCCCCGATTGTCCCCCGGAGCGGTGTCCCTGTCCCCTCCCAGCGGCCTCAGTTGTCCCCAGAGCACTGTCCCTGTCCCCCGGTGTACCAGTCCCCCATGTCCCTCCCAGTGTCCCCAGTGCCCTCCGGACCAGTGTCCCAGTCCCTGTCCCCCAGTGACCCCCAGACCCGGACCCCGGTTCCTCTCCCAGTGTCCCCATCCAGTGTCCCCAGTGTCCCCATCCGCTGTCCCCAGTGTCCCAGTCCCACTCCCAGTGTCCCCATCCGCTGTCCCCAGTGTCCCAGTCCCACTCCCAGTGTCCCCATCCGCTGTCCCCAGTGTCCCCATCTCCTGCCAGCTGCCCCAGCACATCCCAAGCAGGGCTGTCGCTGTCCCCTCGTGTCCCCCGCTGTTCCCGGTGCCACCTCGGTGTCCCCCGGTGTCCCCTGACCCCCCAAAATCCCACGGGGGAGCGTCAGTAACTCCTGTGCCCTGCCGGGACACGTCCTGATCGGGTGGGTCCCTGTCCTGTCCCAATGTCCCTGATGTCCCCCAATGTCCCTAATGTCCCCGATGTCCCCAATGTCCCTGATGTCCCCGATGTCCCTGATGTGCCCAATGTCCCCAATGTCCCCATCCCGCAGCGGGGGGCTCAGTAACCTGCTGTACAGGTGTGCACTGCCTGGGTTGGGTCCCTGTCCCCTAAATGTCCCCAATGTCCCCAATGTCCCCAATGTCCCCGATGTCCCCAATGTCCCCAATGTCCCGCAGCGGGGGGCTCAGTAACCTGCTGTACAAGTGTGCAATGCCCGGTGGGTCCCTGTCCCCTAAATGTCCCCAATGTCCCCAATGTCCCCGATGTCCCCGATGTCCCCTGATGTCCCCAATGTCCCCGATGTCCCCAATGTCCCCAATGTCCCCAATGTCCCGCAGCGGGGGGCTCAGTAACCTGCTGTACAAGTGCGCGCTGCCCGAGCACGTGCCGAGCGTGGGGGACGAGCCCCGGCAGGTTCTGCTGCGCGTCTATGGGGCCATCCTGCAGGTGAGGGCACCGCCGCACCCCAAAACCCACGGGGACCCCAAACCCCATGGGGACCCCTGAGACCCTAAACCCAATGGGAACCCCAAGACCCCAAACCCCATAGGAACCCCCGAGACCCCAAATCCCATGGGGAACCCCAAGACCCCAAACCCCATGGGGATCCCCAAGATCCCAAACCCCATGGAGACCCCTGAGATCCCAAACCCCATGGGGACCCCCGAGATCCCAAACCCCATGGGGACCCCTGAGATCCCAAATCCCATGGGAACCCCTGAGATCCCAAACCCCATGGGAACCCCCGAGACCCCAAACCCCATGGGGACCCCTGAGATCCCAAATCCCATGGGGATCCCCAAGACCCCAAATCCCATGGGGATCCCCAAGACCCCAAATCCCATGGGGATCCCCAAGACCCCAAACCCCATGGGGACCCCCGAGACCCCAAACCCCATGGGGATCCCTGAGACCCCAAACCTCATGGGGAACCCCGAAATCCCAAACCCCATGGGAATCCCTGAGATCCCAAACCCCATAGGGACCCCTGAGATCCCAAACCCCATGGGGACCCCCGAGATCCCAAACCCCATATGGACCCCTGAGATCCCAAACCCCATGGGGACCCCCGAGACCCCAAACCCCATGGGGACCCCTGAGACCCCAAACCCCATGGGGACCCCTGAGATCCCAAACCCCATGGGGAACCCCTGAGACCCCAAACCCCATGGGGAACCCCCGAGATCCCAAATCCCATGGGGATCCCCGAGATCCCAAATCCCATGGGGATCCCCGAGACCGCGAATCCCATGGGGAACCCCAAGACCCCAAACCCCATGGGGAACCCCAAGACCCCAAACCCCATGGGGACCCCCAAGACCCTAAACCCCATGAAAACCACCGAGACCCCAAACCCCATGGGGACCCCCAAGATCCCAAACCCCATGGGACCCCCCGAGACCCTAAACCCCATAGGAACCCCCGAGACCCCAAACCCCATGGGGACCCCCAAGACCCCAAACCCCATGGGGACCCCCTAAGACCCCAAACCCCATGGGGAACCCCCGAGACCCCAAATCCCATGGGGAACCCCGAGACCCTAAACCCCATGGGAACCCCTGAGACCCTAAACCCCATGGGGATCCCCGAGACCCCGAATCTCATGGGGACCCCTGAGACCCCAAATCCTATGGGGACCCCCGAGATCCCAAACCCCATAGGGATCCCCGAGATCCCAAACCCCATGGGAACCCCCAAGATCCCAAACCCCATGGGGACCCCTGAGATCCCAAACCCCATAGGGACCCCTGAGATCCCAAACCCCATGGGGACCCCAAGACCCCAAACCCAATGGGAACCCCTGAGACCCCAAATCCCATGGGGAACCCCTGAGACCCCAAACCCAATGGGGACCCCTGAGACCCCAAACCCCATAGGAACCCCCAAGACCCCAAACCCTATGGGGACCCCTGAGACCCCAAACCCCATGGGGACCCCCGAGATCCCAAACCCCATAGGAACCCCTAAGACCCCAAACCCCATGAAAACCCCCGAGACCCCGAATCCCATGGGGATCCCCGAGGCCCCAAACCCCATGGGGACCCCCGAGATCCCAAACCCCATGGGGACCCCTGAGACCCCAAACCCCATGGGGAACCCCGAAATCCCAAACCCCATGGGAACCCCCGAGATCCCAAACCCCATGGGGATCCCCGAGACCCCAAACCCCATGGGGAACCCCAAGATCCCAAACCCCATGGGACCCCCCAAGACCCCAAACCCCGTGGGAACCCCTGAGACCCTGAATCCCAAGGAAACCCCTGGGATTAGGGATTTTCATGTGCCTTTTTGGGATTTGTGGTTCTGTTTTTGGGGACCCCAATTTGTGGTCCCATTTCTGGGGATCCCAATTTGTCACCCCATTTTTGAGGATCTTGATTTGTGGCCCCATTTTTGGGGATCCCAATTTGTGGGTCCCATTTTTGTGGCCCCGTTTTTGTAGATTCCCATTTGTGGTCCCGTTTTGGGAATCCCCATTTCTGGTCCCATTTTTGAGTATCCCGATTTGTGACCCCATTTTTGGGGACCCATTTTTGTGGCCCCATTTTTAGGGTCCCGTTTTTGTGGTCCCACTTTTGGGTCCTGTTTTTGTGGCCCCATTTTTGAGTATCCCGATTTGTGGCCCCATTTTTGGGTCCCAATTGATGGTCCCGTTTTTGGGGATCCCCATTTGTGGCCCCGTTTTGGTGGTCCCGTTTTTGGGGATCCCCATTTGTGGCCCCGTTTTGGTGGTCCCGTTTTTGGGGATCCCCATTTGTGACCCCCTTCCTGGGTCCCAATCTGTGGTCCTGTTTTTGGGGATCCCGATTTGTGGTCCCGTTTTGGTGGTCCCATTTTTGGGGATCCCAATTTGTGACCCCATTTTGGTGGTCTCAAACTGTGGCCCCAGTTTTGGGGATCCCGATTTGTGGCCCTCTTTTGGTGGACCCGTTCTTGGGAATCCCGATTTGTGGCCCCATTTTGGTGGTCCCATTTTTGGGGATCCCAACCTGTGGCCCCATTTTTGGGGATCCCAATTTGTGGTCCCGTTCCTGGCTCCCAACCTGTGGCCCCGTTTTTGGGGATCCCCATTTTTGTGGTCCCAACCTGTGGTCCTGTTTTTGGGGATCCCCATTTTTGGGTCCCAATTGATGGCCCCGTTTTTGGGGATCCCGATTTGTGACCCTATTTTTGGGTCCCAATTGATGGTCCCGTTTTCAGGGATCCCAATTTGTGACCCCGTTTTTGTGATCCCAAACAGTGGCCCCATTTTTGGGGATCTCGATTTGTGGCCCCGTTTTGGTGGTCCCGTTTTTGGGGATCCCGATTTGTGACCCCATTTTTGGGTCCCAATTGATGGTCCCGTTTCTGGGGATCCCAATTTGTGGCCCCATTCCTGGCTCCCAACCTGTGGTCCTGTTTTTGGGGATCCCCATTTTTGTGGTCCCAACCTGTGGTCCTGTTTTTGGGGATCCCCATTTTTGGGTCCCAATTGATGGTCCTGTTTTTGGGGATCCCGATTTGTGGCCCCATTTTTGTGGTCCCAACCTGTGGCCCCATTTTTGGGGATCCCGTTTTTGTGATCTTGTTTTTATAGATCCCCATTTGTGGTCCCGTTTTGGTGGTCCCATTTTTGGGGATCCCGATTTGTGACCCCATTTTTGGGTCCCAATCTGTGGCCCCATTTTTGGGGATCCCAATCTGTGTCCCCATTCCTGGCTCCCAACCTGTGTCCCCGTTTTTGGGGTGCCCCTGACCCCCCGCAGGGCGTGGACTCGCTGGTGCTGGAGAGCGTCATGTTCGCCATCCTGGCCGAGCGCGCGCTGGGGCCGCGCCTGTTCGGGGTGTTCCCGCAGGGCCGGCTGGAGCAGTACATCCCGGTAGGATCGGGGGTCCCCCCGGCCCCCCGTGCCCCCCGCGGGCACCCCCGAACCCCCCGTGCCCCCCCAGAGCCGGCGGCTGCGCACCGAGGAGCTGCGGGAGCCGCGCGTCTCCGCCGAGATCGCCGTCACCATGGCGCGCTTCCACGGCATGGCCATGCCCTTCAACAAGGAGCCCAAGTGGCTCTTCGGGACCATGGAGGGGTCAGGGGCCCCATCCCGCTGGGAACGGGGAGGGACAGCTCCAAATCCCACTGGGAGTGGGGTGGGACAGCTCCAAATCCCACTGGGAACGGGGAGTGAGGCACAAATCCCACTGGGAACGGGGAGTGAGGCACAAATCCCGCTGGGAACGGGGACCCAAATCCCGCTGGGAATGGGGAGTGGGGCACAAATCCCACTGGGAATGGGGGCACAAATCCCGCTGGGAATGAGGACCCAAATCCCACTGGGAACAGGGACCCCAATCCCGCTGGGAGCGGGGCACAAATCCCACTGGGAATGGGGAGTGGGGCACAAATCCCACTGGGAACGGGGAGCAGGGTGGGGCAGCTCCAAATCCCACTGGGAATGGGGAGTGGGGCACAAATCCCACTGGGAACGGGGAGCAGGGTGGGGCAGCTCCAAATCCCACTGGGAATGGGGAGTGGGGGCACAAATCCCGCTGGGAACAGGGACCCAAATCCCGCTGGGAACGGGGAGTGGGGCACAAATCCCACTGGGAGTGGGGAGTGAGGCACAAATTCCACTGGGAGCAAAGAGAGGGGTGGGACAGCTCCAAATCCCGCTGGGAGCGGGGAGTGGGGACACAAATCCCATTGGGAGCGGGGAGTGGGGAACAAATCCCACTGGGAATGGGGAGTGGGGCACAAATCCCGCTGGGAACGGGGACTCAAATCCCATTGGGAGCGGGGAGTGGGGCACAAATCCCACTGGGAATGGGGACCCAAATCCCACTGGGAATGGGGAGTGGGGCACAAATCACACTGGGAACAGGGAGCAGGGTGGGACAGCTCCAAATCCTACTGGGAGAGGGGGCCCAAATCCCACTGGGAGCAGGGAGTGGGAACCCCAAACCCCAGTGGGACCAGGGAGTGGGAACCCCAAACCCCATTGGGACCTGGGAGTGGGAACCCCAAACCCCAGTGGGATCAGGGAGTGGGAACCCCAAACCCCACTGGGATCAGGGAGTGGGAACCCCAAACCCCAGTGGGACCAGGCAGTGGGAACCCCAAACCCCATTGGGACCTGGGAGTGGGAACCCCAAACCCCATTGGGACCAGGGAGTGGGAACCCCAAACCCCAGTGGGATCAGGGAGTGGGAACCCCAAACCCCACTGGGATCAGGCAGTGGGAACCCCAAACCCCATTGGGACCAGGGAGTGGGAACCCCAAACCCCATTGTGACCAGGGAGTGGGAACCCCAAACCCCAGTGGGACCAGGGAGTGGGAACCCCAAACCCCATTGGGATCAGGGAGTGGGATCCCCAAACCCCATTGGGATCAGGGAGTGGGAACCCCAAACCCCAGTGGGACCAGGGAGTGGGAACCCCAAACCCCATTGGGATCAGGGAGTGGGAACCCCAAACCCCAGTGGGACCAGGACCCCTGAGGTTTCCTGGCTGCTTCCAGCAGGTCCTGTGGGACACCGAGGGGACACTGGGTGACCTTGGGGTGGCCGGGGCTGGGCAGGGGCTGTCGGGGGTCTGTCCCCACGCTGTCCCCTGTGTCCCCACCGTGCCGTGTCCCCAGGTACCTGCGGCAGATCTCGGAGCTGACCTTCTCGGAGCCGGAGCAGCTGCAGCAGCTGGAGCAGCTCCGGGGTTACAACCTGGAGCAGGAGATGAGGAGCCTCAGGTCACTGTCACCACCCCCGCTGTGTCCCTCCTCTGTCCCTCCTGTCCCCTCCTTGACCTCGCATCCCTGGTGTCCCCAGTGTCCCCCATGTCCTCAGTGTCCTCTGTGTCCCCGGTGTCCCCCTGTGTGTCCTACAAGTCCCCGGTGTCCCCTGTGTGTCCCCCATGCCCTCAGGGTGTCCCTGTTGTCTCCCCTGTGTCCCCCTGTATCCGTGTCACCTCCACGTCCCGGTGTCACCCATGCCTTTGGTTTTCTGTGTCCCACATGTCCCCTGGTGTCCCCCATGTCCCCATGTCCCTGTGTGCTGGTGTCCCCCATGTCCTGGTGTCCCCCTGGTGTCCCCCATGTCCCCATATCCCGGGGTCCCCCCCATGTCCCCATATCCCGGGGTCCCCCCCATGTCCCCAGGGCTGTCCCAGGGCTGTCCCCGTGTCCCCTCTGAGCCGCTCTGTCCCCTCAGGGACCTGCTGGAGGCCACCCCGTCCCCGGTGGTCTTCTGCCACAACGACGTGCAGGAGGGTGAGTGACACCCCTGTCCCCAACCCGGACCCCCAAACCCCACAGACCCCCAAACCCCTCAGACCCCCCAAACTCCAAAATCCCCCAGACCCCCAAACCCCCAGACCCCCCAAACCCCACAGACCCCCTAAACCCCTCAGACTCCCCAAACCTCTCAGACCCCCCAGACCCCCCAAATGCCCCAAACCCCCCCAAACTCCTCAGACCCCCAAACCCCCCAGACCCCCCAAACCCCACAGACCCCTCTGACCCCACAGACCCCCCAGACCCCCAAACCCCCCAGACCCCTCAGACCCCCAAACCCCTCAGACCCCCCAATCCCCCAAACCCCCAAGACACCCCAGACCCCTCAAACCCAACAGACCCCCCAAACCCCTCAGACCCCCCAGACCCCCCAAACCCCTCAGACCCCCAAACCCCACAGACCCCCCAAAACCCCGCACATCCCCCAGACCCCCCAAACTTCCCAGACCCCCAAACCCTCCAAACTCCCCAAACTCCCCAGCCCCTCCAGACCCCCCAGAGCCCCGGGGACCCCCCGAACCCCAAAACCCCTGCCCCCCAGGGAACATCCTGCTGCTGGCGGGGCGCGAGGGCTCCTCGGACAGCCTCATGCTCATCGACTTCGAGTACAGCAGCTACAACTACCGGTGGGCTGGGGGACCCCGGGGGGCTGGGGGGTCCCCGGGGGGTTTGGGGGGTCCCCGGGGGGTTTGGGGGGCCCCGGGGGGGTTTGGGGGAGCCCCGGGGGATTTGGGGGGACCCCGGGGGGTTTGGGGGGTCCCCAGGGGGTTTGGGGGGTCCCAGGGGGTTTGGGGTGGTCCCCGGGGGGGTTTGGGGTGCAGCGGGCTGTTTTTGGGGCACAGAGGGGTGTTTTTGGGGTGGTTTTGGGGTGCAGAGGGGTGGTTTTGGGGCACAGAGGGCTATTTTTGGGGCTGCTCTGGGGCTGTTTTTGGGGCTGCTCTGGGGCTGTTTTTGGGGCTCGGGGCTGTTTTCGGGGCTGCTCTGGGGCCGTTTTTGGGGTGCAGGGGCTGACCCCGTGCCCCCCCAGGGGCTTTGACCTGGGCAATCACTTCTGCGAGTGGGTTTACAGCTACGGCGCCCAAGCCTGGCCCGGCTTCCAGGCCCGGCCCGAGCACTACCCCAGCCGCCAGCAGCAGGTGGGGACTGGGGGGGCTGGGGGGGTCCCTTGAGGGTCCCTTGGGGGTCTGGGAGGTTCTCTGGGGGATCTGGGGGGCTTCCTTCGTGCCTGGAGGGTCCCCTTGGGGTCCCTTGGGGGGTCCTGAGGGTGTCCCTTGGGGCCGAGGGGATTCCTTGGGGGTTCTGGGGGGGTCTGGGGGTGTCCCTTGGGGGTCCCTAGGGGATCTGGGAGGTTCCTTGGGGGGGCTGAGGTGTCCCTTGGGGGTCCCTGGGGGTCTGGGAGGTTCTCTGTGGGTCCCTTGAGGGTCCCTTGGGGGGCTGGGAGGCTCCTTGGGGGTCTGGGGGTGTCCCTTGGGGGTCCTTTTGGGGCTCTGGGGGTGTCCCTTGGGGTCCCTGGGGGGTCCCTGGGGGCTCTGGGAGGTTCCTTGGGGGTCCTGGGAGGTTCCTTGGGGGTCTCTGGGAGTCCTGGGGGGCTCCTTGGGGGGGCTGAGGTGTCCCTTTGGGGTCCCTGGGGGTCCTAGGGAGACTCCTTGGGGGTCCTAGGGGGGCTCCTTGGGGGTCTGGGGGTGTCCCTTTGGGGTCCCTTGGGGGCTCTGGGAGGTCCCTTGGGGGTCTGGGAGGTTCCCTGGAGATCCTGGGGGGCTGCTTGGGAGGTCTGGGGGTGTCCCTTGGGGGTCCCTGGGGGGTCTGGGAGGTTCCCTGGGGGTCTGGGGGTGTCCCTTTGGGGTCCCTGGGGGGTCCCTAGGGGATCTGGGACATTCCTTGGGGGGGCTGGGGTGTCCCTTGGGGGTCCTTGGGGGTCCCTGGGGGTCTGGGAGGTTCCCTGGGGGTCTGGGGGTGTCCCTTTGGGGTCCCTGGGGGTCTGGGGGGGTCCCTTGGCGGTCCTGGGAGGTTCCTTGGGGGTCCTGGAAGGTCCCTTGGGCGTCCCTGGGGGGTCTGGGGGGCTCCTTAGGGGGTCTGGGGGTGTCCCTTGGGGGTCCCTGAGGGTCCTGGGGGGGCTCCTGGGGGATCTGGGAGGTTCCTTGGGGGTCCCTGGGGATCCTGGGGGGCTGCTTGGGGGTCTGGGGGTGTCCCTTGGGGGTCCCTGGGGGGTCTGGGAGGTTCCCTTGGGGGTCCCTGGGGGGGTCTGGGAGGCTCCTTGGGGGTCTGGGGGTGTCCCTTGGGGGTCCTTTTGGGGCTCTGGGGGTGTCCCTTGGGGTCCCTTGGGGGTCCCTGGGGGTCTGGGAGGTTCCCTGGAGATCCTGGGGGGCTCCTTGGGGGGCTGGGGGTGTCCCTTTGGGGTCCCTGAGGGTCCTGGGGGGGCTCCTGGGGGATCTGGGAGGTTCCCTGGGGGTCCCTGGGGGTGTCTCTGGGGGTCTCTGGGGGTCCCAGCCCCACCCACCCCCCCGTACCCCCAGCTCCATTTCATCCGGCACTACCTGTGGGAGCGCCCGGGCGGGCCGGGACCGGCACCGGCCCCGGGAGCGGCCCCGGGAGCGGCACCGGGAGCGGCCCCGGGAGCGGGAACGGGCCCGGCCGGGGAGGAGCGGGCGCGGCTGGAGGAGGAGCTGCTGCGGGAGATCGAGCGGTACGGACTGGGGGGTCCCTGTGCCGCTTTTGGGGTCCCTGTGCCACCTTTGGGGGTCCCTGTGCCACTTTTGGGGGTTTCTATGGCCCCGTTTGGGGATCTCTGTGTCACTTTTGGGGTCCCTATGCCGCTTTTTGGGGTCTCTGTGCCACTTTTGGGGTCCCTATGCCACCTTGGGGGTCACTGTGCCACCTTTGGGGTCTCTGTGCCACTTTTTGGGGTCTCTGTGCCGCTTTGGGGGTCCCTGTGCCGCTTTTGGGGTCCCTGTGCCGCTTTTGGGGGTTTCTGTGACCCAATTTGGGGTCCCTGTGCCACTTTGGGGGGTCCCTGTGCTGTTTTTCGGGGTCCCTGTGCCGCTTTGGGGGTTCTTTGTGACTCACTTTTGGGGTCTCTGTGCCGCTTTAGGGTTTCTGTGCCGCTTTTGGGGTCCCTGTGCCAGTTTTGGGGATCTCCGTGACCAAATTTGGGGTCCCTGTGCCACTTTTGGGGGTCTCTGTGCCACCTTTGGGGTCCCTGTACCGCTTTTGGGGTCTCTGTGCCTCTTTTGGGGTCTCTGTGCCATTTTTGGGGTCCTCCATGCCCTCATCTGGGGGTCTCTGTGCCGCTTTTGGGGTCTCTGTGACCCAATTTGGGGTCTCTGTGCCACTTTTAGGGGTCCCTGTGCCACTTTTTGGGGTCTCTCTACCACTTTTCGGGGTTTCTGTGGCCCCATTTGGGGTCTCTGTGCCACTTTTGGGGGTTTCTGTGCCACTTTTGGGGTTTCTGTGTCACTCTTGGGGTCTCTGTACCTGTATTTCGGGAGGGGGTTGTACCATTTTGGGGATCTCCGTGCCACTTTGGGGTTTCTGTGTCACTTTTGGGGTCTCTGTGTCACTCTTGGGGTCTCTGTACCTTTATTTGAGGGGGGTTGTACCATTTTTGGGGTCTCTGTGCCACTTTTGGGGATCTCCGTGACCAAATTTGGGGTCCCTGTGCCGCTTTTGGGGTCTCCCTGTGCCGCTTTTGGGGTCCCTGTGCCACTTTTGGGGTGCCCGGGGGCAGATTTGGGGTCTCACCCCCGTTTCCCCCCAGCTTTGCTTTGGCCTCTCACTTCTTCTGGGGGCTCTGGTCCGTGGTGCAGGCCAAGATCTCCACCATCCGCTTCGGCTACCTGGTGAGTGGGGGGTCCCGGGGGGTCCCGGGGGTCCTGGGGGGTCCTGGGGGTGCTGGGGGGCTGCACCCCCCTCCCCCCGCACCCCTTTTAACCCCTTCAGTGCCTGTTCCCCGTTTTTCTCACGGTTTTCCGTCCTTTTTCCCCTTTTCTCACACATTTCTCCCTCCTTTTTCCCCATTTCTCCCCTCATTGCTCCCTCCTTTTTTCCCTCTTTTCACCCATTTCTCCCCCATTTCCCCTCCTTTCCCCCCTCCTTTTTCCCCTCCTTTTTCCCATTTTTGCCCCCATTTCTCCCCCATTCCCCCTCCTTTTTCCCCTTTTCCTACAATTTCTCCCCCCATTTCCCCTCCTTTTTTCCCCTTTTCTTCCCTCATTTCTCCCTCCTTTTCCCCCCATTTTTACCCCCATTTCTCCCCCTATTCCCCCTCCTTTTTCCCCTTTTTTCACTCATTTCCCCTCCTTTTTTCCCCATTTCTCCCCCCATTTCCCCTCCTTTTCCCCCCATTTTTGCCCCCATTTCTCCCTCCTTTTCCCCCCATTTTTGACCCCATTTCTCCCCCATTTCCCCCTCCTTTTCCCCCTTTTCTCACACATTTCTCCCCTCATTTCTCCCTCCATTTTCCCCTTTTCTCACCCATTTCTCCCCCTATTCCCCCTCCTTTTTCCCCTTTTTCACTCATTTCCCCTCCTTTTTTCCCCCTCCTTTTTCCCCCATTTCTCCCCCCATTTCCCCTCCTTTTCCCTCCATTTTTGCCCCCATTTCTCCCCTCATTTCTCTCTCCTTTTTCCCCTTTTCTCCCCCATTTTCTCCCCCATTTTCTCCCCCATTTTCTCCCCCCTTTTCTCCCCCCATTTCCCCTCCTTTTTCCCCTTTTCCCCCTCCTTTTCTCCCTCCTTTTTTCCCCTTTTCTGGCACATTTTTCCCACATTTCCCCCTCCGTTCCCTTTTTTCTCCCCCATTTCTCCCCCATTTCTCCCTTCATTCTCCCCATCCTTTTCCCCCTTTATCCCCCTTTATATTTCCCTTCCCCTCATTCCCCTCCCCATTTCTCCAATTTCTCCTCTTCCTCTCCCTTTTTTTTCTCTTTTCCTGATTCCCCCCTTTTTTTCCCCTTTTTTCCCACTTTTTCTCTCATTTCCCCCTTTACCCCCCCTTTTTTCCCCCTTTATTCCCCTCCCCATTTTCCCCCTGGTTTTTCCCAATTTTTTTCCCCATTTTCTCCCCTTTATTTCCCACTTTTTCTCCCATTTCCCCCCTTCATCCCCCTCACTTTTTCCCCCCTTTATTCCCCTTTTTCCCTCATGTTTTCCCCCCTGGTTTTTCCCCATTTCTCCCCTTTATTTCCCACTTTTTTTTCCCCATTTCCCCCCTTCATCCCCCCCACTTTTCCCCCTTTATTCACATTTCCCCCCATTTTCCCCCCTGGTTTTTCCCCATTTTCTCCCCTTTATTTCCCACTTTTTTTTCCCCATTTCCCCCCTTCATCCCCCTCACATTTTCCCCCCTTTATTCCCCTTTCCCCCCATGTTTTCCCCATTTTTTCCCCATTTTTCCCCATTTTCTCCCATTTATTTCCCACTTTTTTTCCCCATTTCCCCCCTTCATCCCCCTCACATTTTCCCCCCTTTATTCCCCTTTCCCCCCCTGTTTTCCCCATTTTTTCCCCATTTTTCCCCATTTTCTCCCATTTATTTCCCACTTTTTTTCCCCATTTCCCCCCTTCATCCCCCCCACTTTTTCCCCCCTTTATTCCCCTTTCCCCCCATGTTTTCCCCCTGGTTTTTCCCCATTTTCTCCCCTTTATTTCCCACTTTTTTTTCCCCATTTCCCCCCTTCATCCCCCTCACATTTTCCCCCCTTTATTCCCCTTTCCCCCCATGTTTTCCCCATTTTTTCCCCATTTTTCCCCATTTTCTCCCATTTATTTCCCACTTTTTTTCCCATTTCCCCCCTTCATCCCCCCTGTTTTTCCCCCCTTTATTCCCATTCCCCCCATGTTTCCCCCCTTGTTTTTCCCCCTTTTTTCCCCAATTTTCCCCTTTTTTTCCCCAGGATTACGCCCAGAGCCGTTTCCAGGCCTATTTCCAGCACAAGGCTCGCTGCTCCTGAGGGGATCCCCCAAATCCTGCCCCTTTGGGGGGCGTTGGGGCGGTTTGGGGGGCGCTTTGTAACGGTTTGGGGGGTCCCGCACATTTTGGGGGCACCACAACGGTTTGGGGGTGCTGAGACCTCCCCCCCGGGTGGGGACCCCCAAATCCGCACCCCTGGCCAGTATGGGGGTTTTGGGGGGTTTTGGGGTGTCGCAGAGGGGCTGGGGGACCCCTGTTTGTACCACCCGCAGCTTTGGGGTCGGGGGGCTCCCGAGACCCCCCAGTTCCGACAGCGGAATGTGAAACTCAGACCAATAAAGCCGCGCTGGGGCCGGCGCTCCGCTCCTCCTTCCTAAATCCCGCCCTAAAAACTCCCCCTACCCAAAATCCCGCCCTAAATCCCACCCTAAAAATTCCCCACCCCAAATCCCGCCCTTCAAATTCCCCCACCCCAAAATCCCGTCCTAAATCCCGCCCTAAAAATTCCCCACCCCAAATCCCAACCCTTCAAATTCCCCCTACCCAAAATCCCAGCCCTTTAAATTCCCCACCCCAAAATCCCGCCCTAAATCCCACCCTAAAAATTCCCCCTACCCAAAATCCCGTCCTAAATCCCGCCCTAAATCCCATCCTAAAATTTCCCCACCCCAAATCCCAACCCTTCAAATTCCCCCTACCCAAAATCCCGTCCTAAATCCCGCCCTAAAAATTCCCCCTACCCAAAAATCCCGTCCTAAATCCCACCCTTTAAAATCCCCCTACCCAAAATCCCGCCCTACATCCCGCCCCAAAAATTCCCCACCCTAAATCCCGCCCTTCAAATTCCCCCTACCCAAAATCCCGTCCTAAATCCCGCCCTAAAAAATCCCCCACCCCAAAATCCCGCCCTAAGTCCCGCCCTTTAAATTCCCCCTACCCAAAATCCCGTCCTAAATCCCGCCCTAAAAATTCCCCCACCCCAAAATCCCGCCCTAAATCCCGCCCTAAAAATTCCCCTACCCAAAATCCCGTCCTAAATCCCACCCTAAAAATTCCCCACCCCAAATCCCAACCCCTCAAATCCCCCCACCCCAAAATCCGTTCCTAAATCCCGCCCTAAAAATTCCCCCTACCCAAAATCCCGCCCTAAATCCCGCCCCTCAAAATCCCCCTCCCCAAATTCCACCCCAAATCCCACCCCCCAAATCCCCCTCCCCAAATCCGCCCCCCGGGACCCCCCAATCGCCGTGGGGCGGGGGGGGGGGGGGGGACAAGGGACACGGGGGCTGACACGGGGGGGGGGTTCTTTGGGGTGGGGGTCCCTTCAGGGTGGGACAAGGGGACCGGGAGGTGACAGCCAGGACAGGGGACAAGGGGACAGGCAGGACACCGAGAGGGGGACAGGGAGGTGACAGCCAGGTGACAGCCAGGACAGGTGACAAGGGGACGGGACAGGCAGGTGACAACCAGAGCATGGGCAGGCGACAAGCGAGTGACAGAGCGTGGGTAGGGGACAGCCAGGGCAGCGGGCAGGGCACAGGCAGGTGACACTCAGGGTGGCGGGCAGGTGACAAGCAGGGCAGGTGACAGGGACAGGGACAGCAGACATTGTCCCGGGCACGGACACTCGGTGCCCCCGGACCTCGTGGCAGAGCCACTGTCCCAGGTGTGTGTCCCTGTCCCGTGTCCCTGTCCCAGGATGCGTGTCCCTGTCCCTGTCCCTGTCCCTGTCCCGGTTCCCTGTCCCGGGTGTGTGTCCCATGTCCCTGTCCCGTGTCCGTGTCCCTGTCCCGGGTGTGTGTCCCTGTCGCGTGTCCCTGTCGCGTGTCCCTGTCCCGTGTCCCTGTCCGGGTCCCTGTCCCATGTGTGTGTCCCTGTCCCGTGTCCGTGTCCCTGTCCCGTGTCCCTGTCCCGTGTCCCTGTCCCGGGTCCCTGTCCCGCGTTCGTGTCTCGGTCCCTATCCCTGTCCCGGGTCCCTGTCCCATATGTGTGTCCCTGTCCCGGGTGCGTGTCCCTGTCCCGTGTCCCTGTCCCGTGTCCCTGTCCCGGGTGCGTGTCTCTGTCCCGCGTTCGTGTCTCGGTCCCTGTCCCGTGTCCCTGTCCCGGGATGTGTCCCTGGCACGGGCCGTGGTTTCCCCGGGCTGTCGGTGTCCCCTCTGTCCCCCGGGAGTGACGCTCCGTGTCCTCCGGGGCTGTCGCTGTCCCCTCTGTCCCCCGGGATGTCGCTGTCCCCCGGAATGTCACTGTCCCCGCTGTCCCGGGATGTCGCTGTCCCCCGGGATGTCGCTGTCCCCGGGGCTGTCGCTGTCCCCGCTGTCCCGGCAGTGACGCTCCGTGTCCCGGGCCGTTGATGCCACCCCACGCGGTGTCCCGGGCCCGTCCCGGCGTGTCGGGGTCCCCCCGAGTGTCGCGGTCCCCCCGGGGGCGGAGCGGCCCCGCCCGGCCCGCCGGTGTCCGGTTACCGACCGGCGGCAGCCGCGGCCCAGGAGCCGCCGTCCCGCGGATCCGCGGCCCCCGCGCTGCCCACGCAGGTACGGGGGGACCCGGGGAGGGGACACGCACGGGACCCACGCGTGGGGAGCCCCGCGGGGGCGGCGGCAGCGCGGGGGCACCGCCGGTACCGGTAACCCCCCCCCGCCCGTCCCTCCCGCGGAGTCGCGCCCGGTGCCGCCTCCCACGCGTGTCCGTGTCCCCGCGCCCCACGCCTGGCCGGGGGTCCCCTCGCGGTGTCCCCTCCGGGGGTCCGGCCCACGCGGGGCCTCCGGGGCCGCGGTGACCTTGGGCGGGGGGACACGGACGGGGTGTCCCCGGTGCCACCCAGCGCGGGGACACGCGTGGGGCGCGGGGATACGGCCTGCGGGACAGGGCGGTGGCACAGGGCGGTGGCACAGGGCGGTGGCACAGGGTGGTGGCACACACCGGGGCGACACGGGGCAGTGGCACAGGGTGGTGACACACACCAGGGTGGCACAGGGTGGTGGCACAGGGCGGTGACACAGGGTGGTGGCACAGGGTGGTGGCACAGGGCGGTGACACAGGGTGGTGGCACAGGGCGGTGGCACAGGGCGGTGGCACGGGGTGGTGGCACGGGGCGGTGGCACGGGGTGGTGGCACGGGGCGGTGGCACAGGGCGATGGCACAGGGTGGTGGCACACACCGGGTGGCACAGGACGGTGACACGGGGTGGTGGCACAGGGCGGTGACACGGGGTGGTGGCACAGGGCGGTGACACGGGGCGGTGGCACAGGGTGGTGGCACACACCGGGGTGGCACAGGACACGGTGCGGTGACACCCGGAGGCGCAGAGGTCACAAAACCCCTCTGCGATCGGGTGGCCGCTGTCACCCTCGGGTGGCGGTTGTCACCCTCGGGTGGTGGCTGTCACCCTCGGGTGGCGGCTGTCACCCTCGGGTGGTGGCTGTCACCCCCGGGTGGCCGCTGTCACCCTCGGGTGGTGGCTGTCACCCTCGGGTGGCGGCTGTCACCCTCGGGTGGCGGCTGTCACCCTCAGCCGGACGCCACCGTGGGAAATGTCCCCGTGTTGGGGACAGGGGTGTCACCCCCGACCCCCCTGAGCGTGTCCACACCGGGGGTGTCCCAGAGCGGGACCCCGGTGGTGGCACAGGGACTCGGTGGCACTCCCGGCCGGGCCGCGCTGTCCTCCCCGGTGTCCCCTCAGGGCCGCGCTGGCGTTGGGGACAGCGGTGACCCTTCCCTCAGTGGGCACCGGGCCAGCGGCGCCGCGTGAGGCCACCGTGACCGCGCCGTTCAACGGCCCCGGGGCTCCCGCGGGGCTGGCACCGCCACCGGGGACACCGGGCAGGGCACCCACTGCCACCGGGGACACCGGGGGAACACCCACCGACACCGGGCAGGGCACCCACTGCCACCGGGGACACCGGGGGGACTGCCACCGCCATTGGGGACACCGGGGGGACACCCACTGCCACCGGGGACACCGGGCAGGGCACCCACTGCCACTGGGGACACCGGGGGGACACCCACTACCACTGCCACCGCCCCGGGGACACCGAGGGGACACCCACCGCCACTGCCACTGCCACCGGGGACACTGGGGAGGACACTCACCGCCACCGGGGACATCGGGCACGACACCCACTGCCATTGGGGACACCGGGCAGGACACCCGGGGACACCGGGGACACCGGGGGGACACCCGGGGACACCGGGCAGGACTGCCACTGCCACCAGGGACACCGGGGGGACACCCACTGCCACTGCCACTGCCACCGGGGACACCGGGGAGGACACGGACCACCACCGGGGACACCGGGGGGACACCCACCGCCCCCGCCACCGCCCGGTGCCATCACCCCGCTGTCCCGCGTGGGTGGCGGCAGGCGGCAGGTCCCCGTGCCCACCGGCCCGGTGTCCCCGCAGGTGTCCCCGCAGGTGTCCCCCGCGTGTCCCCAGGATGGCGGAGGCCCACCAGGCCGTGGCCTTCCAGTTCACGGTCACGCCCGAGGGGTTGGACTTCCAGCTGAGCCGCGAGGCCGTGCGCCACCTCTACCTGGCCACCGTCCACTCGTGGAAAAAGCGCCTGGTCCGCACCAAGGTGGGCTCGGCGGCCGCGCCCCCGCCCCGGTGCCACCCCGGTGTCACCCCCGTGTCACCCGCGGTGACAGCGCTGTGCCCACACAGAACAGTTTCCTGAGTGGGGTGTACCCCGCGTCCCCCTCCAGCTGGATGGTGGCGCTGGTGGCCACGGCCGGTTCGTGTTACTGCCACGTGGATCCGTCCCTCGGGCTGATCGCCCGCATCCAGAGCTGCCTGCCCCACGGGTGAGCGCGACACGGGACACGGGTGACACTGCCCCACGGGGGAGCGGGACACGGCCCCACGGGGGAGCGGGGACACGGCCCACGGGTGACATTGCCCCACGGGGCAGCGGGGACACGGCCCACGGGGGAGCGGGACACGGCCCACGGGGGAGTGGGGACACGGCCCCACGGGGGACACGGCCCCACGGGTGACATTGCCCCACGGGTGAGCGGGACACGGCCCACGGGGGAGCGGGGACACGGCCCACGGGTGAGAGGGGACACGGCCCCACGCGGGAGCGGGGACACGGCCCCACAGGGGACACAGCCCCGCAGGGGACACGGCCCCACGGGGGACACGGCCCCACGGGTGAGCGGGGACACGACCCCACGGGGAACACAGCTCCACGGGTGAGAGGGGACACGGCCCCACGGGTGAGAGGGGACACGGCCCACGGGTGAGCGGGGACACGGCCCCACGGGGGAGCGGGGACACGGCCCCACGGGGGACGCAACCCCACGGGTGAGCGGGGACACGGCCCCACAGGTGAGCGGGGACACGCCCCGAGGTCACCG